TGTTTCTTTGTATGTATGACTATTCAGAGACTTTACATTTGTACTAGGAATCCTAACTCAGGTCCTCATGGTCATGTGGCAGGCACGTTAGTGGTTGAGCCATCTCCTCATTCTCACCATGTAAAACTCTGACAGACAGGTATATGTTCTCTCACTGTTATTTTCAATTTATGGAGATACCAAGTAAAATCATGATCCCAACAGGAGATACACAACCTCATTCCTCTGTGGGTTTAAATCTCAACTCAGCAATACGCTGCAGGAAATTAAATGCCTTCCTTCACCATGACATAAGGATACTTAGTAGTGTGAGTAAGAGCATGGAGTGTAGTGATATATTATTTATGATTTATTAAAGCTTGACTGAGGATTCGGAAAAGCAAAGTCAGTCACAAGCCATAAAAGTCAAGCACACACCTTTAATCCCAGCATCGAGAAGTTAGGAGGTGATGGTACACACCGTTAATCCTAGGATTCAGTATTAAGAGGTAGATGGATCTCTGTGAGTCCAATGCCACCTAGATCTACACAAGAGTGAATCAGTCTAAAAGAGAATTATAGCTCACACTGTTAATCCCAACACTAGGAAAGTATATAAGACAGAAGCAAGGTCTCAGAGAGGCATTCATTCTTTAGCCACACTGAGGAGAGGCAGCAGTTTGAAACTTGGTAAAGAGCTCGTGCGAGGATCAGCCCTTTCAGCTTGAACTAGAAGTGAGAGCCAGTGGCCAGTGGCTTTTCTTGAAGTTTGAACCCTGACATCAGTCACTGGGTCTTTTATTTTTCGTGTTACAATGAAGTCTGGAGTCATCAATTTTGGTCTGAGGTTCGAATTTACTCAGAAAATATGCAACCCAGGAAAATCCTGAAACCTTTCTGCAAGCCTCATTTTCTTGAGTATAAAATGACTATAATGACACTTACCCAATGGACCATTTTGAGGATTGAGTTCATACTTGTAAACCATTTAGTGCAGTGTCAAGCAAATGCGATGGAGAGAGTGCGGAAGGATAGAGAGGGGAGGGAGAGAAAGGGGCACCATTTAACTATGTTTACCTTTTTGATAGTATACAATCAATAGGAATTTAATTTGGAAATTGAGGTTTCACTTGCTTTTGTCCTCCATGAGCATACAGTACTGAATTAGCTTTTAGTGCTATGTCTGAGTGTTGCTGTGAAATTGAGGCAAGAGATGCTGGCTCTACAGCCTTTGAAAGACAAAGATTGTGTGGGTATTCTAAAGTTATTTTATACCCTTCTATACACAGTTTGAATGTGTGTTTAGGCTGAATGCATCTGATATGTGTGTCTGAGAACAGGGGCAGATGAAAATGTGCAAGAGAAAAATAACTCAAAGAACATGGGAATGATAGAAAACTGATTCTCAGAGCTCTAACCCCAGCTCCAACCATGAAGACTTTCTTTTAAGATGTGAAATAATGAGACTCACCATCTGTGAGACCTAAGAGAAAATATCTTGACCCAAAGTAGTCAAGACAATGTATGTAAAATTAGTTCCAAAGAGAGTTAGACATGGTGAGTTTTTAGAGGTTTTTACAGGTTCCTGGGAGAAGGAACAGAGTGATTAGATTAGCGAATTGTAATAATCTTCCTAGAAGGGTCCTGGTTGTGGTGGGGCAGAACAAGGCTCTACAAGATTATTTTGACAATCCTGACCATCTTCAAGGTGAGAAGTGAACACATAAATGAAGACTGGACAGTCAGACTTGTGAGAAGGAACAGAGATCATCCCATAACTGGACCACAGCCACAGATTCTGATTTCTCATATTGACACATTGCCTTGTAAAGATCTTTAGCTCCATGTTGCTGACAATTTAGAGTAGTCCTACTAAATAACGGCAAGAAGAACCTTTGCTCAGCCTTGCACTATGTGAGTCCTCCTTCTGGGAAAGGAAGGCATGTATATTGCAGTGTGTGTTCATGTGTGTGTGCGTGTGTGCCTGTGCGTGCACGAGTGCATATATGAGTATATGTGCGTGTTTAGAATCTGGCTCATGGTCATCTTTGCTAGATGTTATTTTTGTCAGTTCTATCATATTCTTTTTTAGTTTTTTTAAAGGTTTGACCAAGGATTCCTTTCTTCTATCTCTAAGCAATGGCTTAAATGCAGAGTGGTTTAATTCACCAGCATAGTTATATCCCTTGGTAGATCATTCAAACACTTTCCTTTAATTTATTGGAGAACAGCTGCCCTGAAATCCTCAGAGATCTTCTCCCAAACATCTGGGTAATCTATAACAGCATTCCTAGGTTCTTTTAGATGTTTTTATTCATCTAGTAGTTAGGGATGTAACCCTTGGTGTAGCTGAGTCTCCAGAACTCTGTCATATGAAAGAGCTCTCTCTTGTCTCTTGACTGCTGCCTGCCCCACCCCTGACAGAGTGTTGAATGTTGCCACCATCATTTTAGACAATCAGCACACAGAAGTCAATAAATATAAGATACAGTAACAATTTTGTATGATGACATTTTAAAACATATGTATTATAATACTGCCCATACTCAATCATGAAAAGAAAAGAAATATAAAAAATTGACCTCAACAATAATATATAATGTATACAATCAGGCTCATTTTTATCTATAGTTTTGGTTACCTACAGCCAATTTCTATTTATAACTAATAAGTAGAATGCTCCAAAAACTAACAATCTGAATATTTTAAACAACAGCATCCTTGCACATAAATTATCCCTCCTTCCAATGTGTCCTTATTCTATTCACTACACTCTGTCTGAGGTATTGGATTGGTAACCATTCTATGGCAATGTGTTCTCATTACTTTATTTTCATTTATAACTTTTCAAAGCACAAGTACACTGATTTTGAAAACTCAGAGAAACCAGAAAAGACATAAAATATTTTCTGAAAAGGTGTAAGTTATTGACTTAAAGCAAGCAAAAATGAAAAAAAAACACATACTGAGGTTTCTAAGATCTAATTTAAATTATTGCTGTTAATCTTCAACTGGGTCTAATTAAATTGTGTACACAGGTAGCCACATATAAGAAGAACAATATGTTATAGGATCCAGGAATATCTGTGAATGACAGGCTGTCAATATGTTTTAGGAATTTTCTAGAGGTCTTCAAGCAGTCCCTGTTTGTGGGGAGGGTCTACTATAATCCCATAGTTGTGAAAAATCAGAGTGTGTTATATTTCAATGTAAAAAGATATTTCATCTTGCAAATGTACTACACAAGAAACCTCAGAGAGCAATGACTAATCTGTTAATTTCCTAAAGGCTGCAGAACACCATCAGAACTATGAATGCACAGTGGCAGCCTTGACTGGTCGGTCACTCAAATATATTAAGAAATTCATTTACAATTGACAAGTACATTTAAGTGGCAATATATATAGTTTATTTAGATTTTCTTTTTTGGTATGTTTTTATAAGCCAGTGCTCCTTATCAAATGCTCTCACCTTGCTTTGCATTTTGGTTCGAGTTACTCTGGGGAAATGGCTTTTTAGTTCCCGAATTCTGTTGTATTGTAAAGCTTTGGAAAGTGTGCTATCATTTCACAAAATGGTTTAGCCATTTATTATGAACATTTTTAAGTAAAATTAATTTTTCCATACATAAGTGTAGCAAAATGTTTTGGGTTTAAAAAATTAACAAGAAACCTCAGAATAGTTAGTTAAATGATTGGTCCTTTTATATTTTAAATGGTTAGTTCTTTTATAGTTTAAACCAATATGAAAAATCTCAAGAGAATGGTAGCTTCCAGATTTTTAAAGCTAAGTTTAGTCACATATAGTTTTTGGTTTCATTTGAAACTTCTATATTAAAGAAGTACCAGAAAAAAATAAAGATTGATACAATCATGTAGGAAATGATGTATGATACTTATAGAACAATATTGTAAAAATCTAGCACAAGCTAAATCCTTGATGAAACTTTAAAAGGAGGTCCACTGACAGTGTGTCTTTTGTTGTGTCAAATATTGGGTAGTGTATGTGTAAACTAAAGTTGATAATAGTTATATTATATTTTGACTCTTACTAAAATATTAAATCCTTAGAGGGTCTCAAGGACACACTGTACTTATCTGGGCATGGTGACACACCCTTTTAATTACAGTACTTGAGAGGTAGAGGCAGGTGGGTCTGTGAGCTCAAGATAAGTCTGATCTAACATAGAAAGTAGCACACCAGCCAGAGGTACATAGTAAGATCCTGACTCAAAAAGAAAACAAACCACTGTACATTGTTCTTGATGTTATCTATTTTAAATAGATAACACAATAGTCAGAATATAAGTAGGAGTCTCATGGAAAGAAATTACCTTACAGAATTCTGGGTACATTATACTTTCTGTGCTATAAACAAGCCAATTCCTCTGCTTCTTTATGGAACTGTGTCCTGACACCAAACGTTAAGCATTTCTGGTGGGACTTAGTTTTTAAGGAATAATTATTTGAAACACGGGATACATAATGGTCAGCAAGCCATTGGAAGTCTTTTCATCCTTCTTCTGAAACTGAAGCACACTATTTGAAGAATGCATTAGCAGCATGTTTTGCAGTGCCTAGTTGATAATGGACCACTTCGAGTAGTGATGATGCTATTTCACTGCATAGTGTATGTCAGGTGTCAAGTTGGAAATCATAGTAAATACTTGGCTCTAAACAAAATGTCCAAATGTGAAGAAAAATGAGATAGCCAGTTGCTATGTATCATTAGTGACTCCATGAGTGCTGTTGTTTCTGTTGGTAATGTTTTCTGTGTACTTATATGAAGCACTACCTTCAGGTTGCAGATACAAGATGTCAACAAAGAAGACTCTATATGGGACAATGATACAAAAGTGAGACTTACAGATAGCAGTATTTGTACAGCACTGTGGATGACCTCTAGGTACTGGAAATCGACGACACAGCCTGTGACTGAGACATATGTGTAGTCATCCATCATGCCATGGGCTGATGGGGGCAGCACTCTCCGGACACAGCCAGGTCCATGTTCCCTCCACCATGACCGATGTACGGAGATGTTGAATGTCATCAGATCAGTGTCCTACATGGCAGTAGACAAGAGAACAAAAGACAATATCATTACATCATACTTCTGGCTTTGACATTGTAAAGAGTTCAGGATAGGTGGAAATGCTGAAATGATTTCAATTTCAAATGAAGAAAAGAAAAAAATCAAAAGCCAAAAATGACTGTGCATATTACATATCTGTACTACTGAGTTATTATCATTTGATGTAGAGACATAGTCCTTTGAATAACATTAGCCTTGTGAGGTTTATAGACATCAAACATCCAGGGGGAGGCTATTTAATTTTTTGGGTACATTTCTTGCTGTGATATCATTGACTTCATCATCCTAAATTCGTATTTATTGAGTTATCATTGCATATTACATGATGTTGAATGAGAATTTCACACACTATAGCTTTCTTTGACAGAATCTCATAAGGAATTTGTTCATAATCCTCTACAGATACCAAATGTATGTATAGTCATTTTAAAATGGTGCAATGTTTACATATAAGCTATAGCTATTTTTAACCTAAATTCAATTAATCTCCATATTTTATAATATAATGCCTAATAAAATGTAAATCCCATTTAAATGGTTACGGAGATAATGAGAAAATAGTTTGCACATGTTCTGTAGGTTTTGTCTTCACTATTTTCAATCATTGTTTGGTAGAATATATGCATATGAAATCCATTGATATGAAAGTCCATACATATATTATTATCAACAAAATTGTAATTCTGTGAATAATTATTCCCTAAAATGTATGTTACATTTCTAAAATCTGTTAATTTTATCCTATATATCATTTAAAAAACCTTTTCAAAATCATAATTTAATTAAGGATCAGAGGTCAGGATGTTTTACTGGAATATCTGGGAGGTCCCAGACTATAATTATAGGTAGAGTTCTTCTTCCCTCCACTCCCCTTCCTCCCTCCCTCCCTTTACTCCCTCCGTCCTTCCTTCCCTCTTCCCTATCTTTGAGCCAGTCTCTTAAAACAGAAACTGTCCTCAAACTTGCTGTACATGGAAGATGGACCTTGAACTTCTGATCCTCCTACCATCACTTCCCGAATGCTGAGGTTATATAGTATATTGCCACCCTACTTAGGTGAAATCATGTGTAACAAAGAAGGGAGGTGAATGGAGATGAGATAGTCAGAGAAAAGGTGGTCAATGTGCCCATACAAGCTACAGCCAAGAAATGCTATGGTCCCCCAGAGGAGAATGGGGAAATGAAGACATCATCTCTAAAGTTAGATTGTGTACAGCACTGCCAGCACCACAAATTCAGCTCCAGGCTTCTGACTCTGGAGATGAGGGAGAAGAAATTTCTGTTGCTTAGACGAACAAATTTGTGATTATTATGACAGCCATAATTAACTAATATGGACAAGGAAAGTAAAGTACTGTAGGTAAATTAATTGGCCCAAGTTAGAAAAGCAAGCTAGCTATAGAGTGATGACTTTGTGTTATGAAGTCCACTTTTAGCTGTGTGCACAGCATCATGCACACTCTTTCACTTCTCTCCCATTAAACCTCTGGCCTTCTCTTCTACCCTGAAGAGAGCCATGTCTTCCTTCCTCAGGCATATCAAGAAAACACCTTCACAGTCAACACAAGGGACAAAGAAGATACTCCTAAATTTCTACAAATTAAAATTTATCAGAGTCCATAGTGGAGACAACTATGGATTTACCGTCTTCAATAGATGATCATTAATATAGGGCTAGCATGTCTAATAGAAAAAGCATCTGCTAACTTTTTGATTGTCAACAGGAAAGTATCATTAGCAAGTATGATACTTCTCCTCTGACAGGTTCACGTGCACTGAAAATGTTATTCTATTTTCAGGCTAAGTGTATAACGTATGCATGAAACATACACAGATTTCATAATAGACTTGGGTCCCACACCCAAATTATCTTAGGTATATATACATATTTTTTTAAAAAACAAGTCAACCTGAAAAATTTGTTTCAAACACTTTGGATACAGGATTCATAATCTACATTTCCACAATGTCACCTGTGGCAGATTAAGATTTTATTATTTGGAATTCTGGGTAAGATGGAAGACTAGAAATTGCCTTGTCTGACTTGGCGAAGAGGAAGAATGAGTGAAAAAAAACAGATTCTATTCTGAAGAGAGAAAAATATTATTGGGAATGTACAAAGATCAGCATGGGACTTGTGAAAACTTCAGAGAAAGAAGGACACGGTGAGTAGAAATAAGTTGAGCATAGGATATCTCCATTTGTGTGGCAGGATAGGAAATGAATCCTCATTCAGAAGGCAACAGAGACAGCCCTGGTGAAAAGAGGTTTCCTTTAGACAAGCTCACACCCCCAACATGCCTCAAATCCAGTGTTGGTGAGACGGTGATGCCTTTAGTAAATGGGTCGGCACTGGAGTAGAATCCCATTTTGTCACTCTATCTGTCACAGGTAGTAGTACATCTTGACAGGGAACCCATTGTTGGAGACTGAGTTAACACTGGGGACCCACAGATGGGGAATAATCACAAATCTGGGAAGCCTCACTTAACTACCCCCAGTACTAGGGTGATAGCTGTAGAGAGTAGCCATACTAGACAACAACAAACCAAATGAGTGAAGACTGCAAGGATGTCAACTCAGAAAGTAAAGTGAGAGGGGAAGGGCAGCTCCATCTTGGTTATTAGAAATAGACATCATCAACTGAGAGTAATTGTGTAGTTTGAGAGCTTTGAGCCTGGTGTCAGCAAGTGAGTCAACTTCTAGAGTCACTATCTAATATTCACTGATACAGAATCTGAAAATTAGAAAAACTCCAGCAGGAAGTTTGACATGCACATGTATGTCCCTCCAACAGGGTGATTAATACTTGCGAGATTTCCATTGTCTAATACCTCCTTTACCTTTATAGTATTATTGCTTCCCCTAGCACATTTAGTGGACATCCATCAGCTAGAATACCAATCACTGCTGAGGATACAATCTAAGGAGTCTTGGGAGGGTTGGGGCATCTGTAAAGCTAGGACTGGCTGCAAAGCTAAGACTTGCTAGTATTAATGCCACCCGGCTGCACACAGAAGGGAATCGACTAAGGTGAAGACATCTCTGGTAGACACCAAGTGCTTGTCCAATGTGGTCTAACCCCAGATTAATCAATGGAAAGAAGAGCCTACAACTGTAACTGATTTCCATCCCCTGTCCATAGCTTGCTGAGAATGTGTACTCCACATCTGTTGGATACCCAGGAATATTCTGAGGATATTAGTTGGATCCAGTAGACGAAATTTTTTAAAATTAGCCTATGTGACCTATCTAAAGTAAGGGAGATGGAGGTGGCTCAGAAGGTAAAGGTGTTTGCCACATAAACCTGGAAATTTGAGTTTGATCAACAGAACCCATGTAAAAAGTGGAAGAACTGACTTCACAAGTGGTCAGTGAACTCAATGTATACTAAGGGACAGGCCCATCCCCACTCATTATGTACACATATAGGCAATAATAATGAATAATCGAAAAAGAAATATGGGAAGGAGTATTAGGAGTATTTTTTTTTTTTTTTTGGTTTTTTGAGACAGGTTTTCTCTGTGTAGCTTTGAAGCCTATCCTGGCACTCGCTATGGAGACCAGGCTGGCCTCGAACTCACATAGATCTGCCTGCCTCTGCTTCCCTAGTGCTGGGATTAAAGGTGTGCACCACCAATGCCCGGCTAAAGGAGGGAGTATTAATGCCATCCACTAATATTATATCAGGATCCGTGTGACCTCTTATGTTCATTGTGATTGTTGTATAAAGTTGGGAGGGCCAATTATTGTTGTGCGTATATTTATAATCCTTACATAATAAAATGAAGTATTCTATTTATTAGTATTTTGTGGCCATCTTTATCTCTTCTGTCTATATTTTTGCATGTCTATTTTTATCAGGTATCAGAAGACCTATGACATTTTGCTTTTGTTTGCTTACTGGATTGACATAGGCTTTGTGTTAGTCTTTGCCAAAAAGGTGTCTTATTTTTTTAGATAAAAAATAGTTTACTTTGATTTCTAATTTAGTCAGCTGCTCTGCATCTATATTTGTGAGCTAAGCGTATGTTTAAGGTTTTGATTGAGAAATGATTATTAGTGTTTGTAATTTTGTTGGTTGGGTTTTAGCTGGATGACTCTTCCATATTGTTCAGGTTACTTTTTTGTTAACTTGACACAAATTAGAGTTATCTGGTAAGAGAAACCTCAATTGAGAAAATGATTCCATCAGATTGGTCTGTGGGCATGTCTTTGGGGCATTTTTTAAATTATTGGTTGATGTGCAAAGGACCAACCACTGTGGATAGTATTGTCCTGGACAGGTGGTCCTGGAGTTATA